GGTGTCGAATCGTACGGTGTCGAATAATTTCGTGTCGAATCGTACGGTGTCGAATAATTTGGTGTCGAATCGTACGGTGTCGAATAATTTGGTGTTGAGTCGTACGGTGTCGAATAATTTGGTGTCGAATCGTACGGTGTCGAATAATTTGGTGTCGAATAAATCTGTGTCCAATAATTTTGGGTCGAATCGTACTATGGTCAAACGGAGCACGCCCTCTGAAAAAATCATGAGTAGTTTAGAAGAAGAGAGGAACGTATCGGCCCAGAGTGATCGGACACTCAGGGCCCGGCGTGGGGGTGTTGCCGTCCCAGGCAACTTGGTATCCCGTGATGGGCTACCTTCCGCCTGCACCGCAGGGGAGGGGGGAGAAACCACAACTGCGAAGAAGCGATCCGACATTCTCGCGATTGGCGCGCTAAGAATGTTCGGGGCGCCAGTCTCCCTCACGGGGGGTAGCGCCGGTGGCACCCTCTCTAGGGATGACAAAAAGAAGAAGCCAGCGAAGGAACGTTCTCGTTTCCCGACATTCGCTGGATTGTCCGGATCCCCACCACTATTCGGGGATTCGGACATGGAGGTGCAGGAGGACGCATCCAAACCGGCTCTCAGTACAAGTGGGGGCGTAAGAAGACCGCCGACCGCCACCGAATTTCTCGATATCGTCGCAACCAAAGAGCGTGTTTTGGCTGCAAGGCGAGCGGAGGCGGTTTTGGAGCTGGAGGACAAATGCTGGCTCGACACCGTCCAGCTGCCGTCCTCCAGACTCCCGTGACCAATTGCCTCCGCAAAGAAAATGGTGCAGAAGACGCACACACCCGCGGTGGCCGTGATGAAATTTGCCACCACGTCCAAGAATCTTGCCGGTAGGTACGTAAAGATTCTGAAGGACGTGACTAGGGGGGGCCTGGAGATTAAATAGCCTACCTGCTGCCACAGGCTCCCCTATTATGTCCGGTGGAGGCCATTGAGGGGTTTTAGTGGGTGCGAGTCCCACATTCCCCGACCAAATCCCTACAGGGCGGAGGTGCATAACGCATTTTCCTTCATAAAAAAAAAAATCGATAGATAGATAGATAGAGAGAGAGAGAGGTAGATAGATAGCTTTTATTTTTAACGCGCCCTGGGACAAGTCCCCTTAAGCGCTAGTTACAAAATATGCATATGAAATTGACATTAGAAAATAATTAACGAACAATATAGAAGTAAGTATATAGAAAAATATTTAAATGTAAAGTATATAATAACATAGAGTAAATATAATATAGAATATAATAATATAAAAATAAAAAAAACGAATAACAGGTAAACTAGAAATCAATAAAAAATAGGCACATTCGGGCGTGTTCCGTTTGACCACAGTACGATTCGACACCGATCGATTCGACATCAAATTATTGGACACAAAATTATTGGACACAGATTTATTCGACACCAAATTATTCGACACCGTACGATTCGACACGAAATT